CATTAATTTTATTTCCTTGTTTTTAGCCATTATGGGGATCTGAATTCCTCAATGGGGGCTAAATGCATCAAAATAGGGTTTAACCCAAAGAGGAAAGGGAAACTCAAGTTGGTAAATCCTAAAATAATATATGTATTTTTTGGATAAACCTACTTATAGATACTACTAATATTCTCCAAATTGTATTTTTCATCTGTCAGTAACTAAAACACTATTGTATATTTCTGTTCTTTTGCGGGTTTTTTGTTTTGTTTTGGTGTGATCGTTTTGCTTTACAAATTTCGATGCATCACTATTTATTGTATAAACTAAGTAACAGGTTTCCCTTCGTTGCAGACTAAACCCTTCACAAATCCCAAGTGACCTCCTGTTTCAATTTAATGCTTCTGTTCCCCAAACTCACCTTCATCATACCTGTGGTACCTGCTCTCCTCTTATTTTCATTTTTCTGGAATAGGTTGGCTCCACCTAAAATCCTCTTTTTATTTTCAATCATTCTTAAGTCCTTTGTTTATATGGCCTTATGGCCTTTATAAAACAGAAGATAGTGTGATAGTTGTGAGTTTTTTAAACCTAATTTAAGATATTTTTTTCTTTTAACAGCTGGGGCAATTCCACTTGTAACTTTGTTGTGACATATGTTGGTAGAGAGAGTTCCACAATCTAGTTTTACTTCTAGTTTTTTTAATACTATTTAGTTTGTTTTCTATCTTTTCCTGAACTTTCCATGTTTTCTTTAAATTTTTTCTCTCCGGTAATATTAATGTGGGCTTTTAATTCTATTAGTGGAATGTTTGGTACATAAAAATTTTATTTAAATTATATTTATCAGTGCATCAATTTCAGAGATTATCTAATTATTTAATTTCTGCTGGGTAAAAGAAAATAATACTTTTATAAGTATAAGAATTTTATAATTCTTCCCATCTCCTTCATAATCCTTGGAATCTTTGATACAGACTAAAAATTTTATCTCAGTCTATTTGGGCTATCTTATTTCTAATCTTTTCACTAAAGCATATACATTTTGTTCTATCTGTGACTTATTTAAATAAGGTTTTATAACCATGATTCAAAACCCTGAGGCAATTTTAAAAAAAGATTTACAAATATCTGTAACATGACCCCTTTTACAAAGGAAGGAATAGAAGAAAATACACATGTATCTGCTTACCGCGGCCAGAAAATAAAAAGCTTTATTTTATAATATGGTTAGCTTACATTTTAGAAGTATGTCAACATCTGTTCAAGCAATAGAGCAGATTAGATAATTTGATACTCCTGAAAAAAAAACAATTTAAAAATTTTCTAAAGGCTGGATAAAGTACATTTTCAATCCTTCCTAATGCATTGCTGGCCTGAGAAGCATGGACAGAATCCATAGAAATCTAAAAAGAAGTCAATAGGGGCGCCTGGGTGGCTCAGTTGGTTGAGCGTCTGACTTCGGCTCGGGTCATGATCTCACGGTTTGTGGGTATGAGCCCCACATCGGGCTCTGTGCTGACAGCGCAGAGCCTGGAGCTGCTTCAGATTCTGTGTCTCCCTCCCTCTCTAGCCCTCCCCTGCTCACACTGCCCCTCTCTCTCTCAGAAATAAATAAAACATTTTAAAAAAAATTAAAAAAAATAAAAATAAAAAGAAGTAAATAAAGGAACCTGTGAGGCAAGCAAATCTCAAGTTGGATTTTTCTAGAGAGCAACCGTAGCCTCGCTGTACTGAGCCTCCCTCAGGAAGGCATCCCGGGAAACAGGGGAACTCTGGCCTGAGGCCAGGACTGACAAAGGGCTAACGCCTCACGTTCGCTGGGGGTTACGGTCAGTACAGTCACAGGTGCAAGGGCATGACTAGGACACCAGAGTCTCTTGAATTTACTGCTGGTGGGAAAATAAAAATCTCTTCTGAGAGACCGTAAGTATGCGTCGCGTGGGTGTGTGGCTGGAATCCATACTACTTGGTCGTCTAAAATATCTCATGAGATAATTTAAAGTCCTCCTGGATCGGTAGGTGCCTGCAAGAACAAATCCATATCTGGTCTGCAGAAAAGGAGCCTAAACACTGCCCTCAAGAGCAAGGGAACTTTACAAGGCCCAGGGAAGAATACGATTCATGGTCAAAACATGAAATAAAATGAAACACACAAGCAAATAAGCCACCAGCTGTGACAGGTGGATGAAACAAAAGCCAAGGAATGTAAATTCTGAACGAATATAAAAAATATGAAAGAGGTGTCGTTAATATATCCCAAGAAATAAAAGATAAACTTGAAAGAATATCCAGGGAGTAAAAAACTGTACTGAAGATCTGGGGCGAGGGGGAAGCAACTATGCTAAAGTCAATATACAGAGAGAGAATGTTGATCAGTCTGAATTCTCTATGCAGCAAAGATGTATTTCACAGAAGTGATGAAATGAAGACATGTTCTGCCAAAAACTGAGTCTCCCATCAGCATCCTCTCACTCGGAAATTCTACAGGATGGAAGAAACACGATTCCAAATGGAAGACTTGAGATGCGAGAAGAAGTGAGGAGCGAAGAAAGCGGTGATTGTGTAGATGCATCTAAAGAAAGGCTTCGGGCAGGTCTCCCTCCCCCCACCCCGCACTCCCTCCCCCCCTGCATCCCCCTCCCCAGAAGTCCCCAGGGCAGGGAGACGCCAAGTGCCCAGCTGCCTGTGCAGAACGCACAGAAGGGAAAATGTGGTGAACAAGGCACAGTAGTAATCCCCAGGTGTCCGCCTTCACAAAGCATACGTTCTAGAGAAAGCCCGATGAACAAATCACCACACGAAGCACAGATGTACAATTACAGACGCAGCTAAGTTCTAGGAAGGAGAAGCATGAGACACTAAGAAGGCTCAACAGAGTGAGATCTGGCTCAGGAAGGTCAGCTTAAGCTAGGACCTGGCCACGAACTCCGCTACCCCAGGCACACGGGGGCCAAGGAAGCAGGGACCCCAGAGAGAAGCGTGCAGAGGAAAACTCACAGCCCTTAGGAACGTAGTAGAATAAAGAGCTGACTAACACCCGGACGGATGGAATATCATCCCCTCAATTAAGTGACAAAGGTAAAAGAACTAGAATCGACATACACAGAGCACGCTTTAGCTGCTGTAGACACCAAAGGTTTTTCTATGTCACATATTCCAGGAAGCTACTGCACGGAGGTCAAGGTGGAAACAAGCTTGCAAAAATAAACAAAAACCTGCAGCTGAGTGACTGAGAATGTGGGATTTCTGGATCTACACCCAGGCTCTCCAAGCCAAGCACTTCCTGAGGCTCCCACAGCCGGCAGCCCCCTGGGCTCCTGTTGCCTGCCTTTCTGACCTCTGACCCCCTCGCCCCCCTGACTCCACGCAGAGCAGAAGAGGGTCATCCCATGGGGCTGTCTCAGTGCCTGGCGCACTCATTGCTTTTTGTGTAAACAGTTAGAAAAGCTGAGTCCAGCACCCAGGTTTCATCACAGAACTCAATGGTCCTAGTTTGGGTCACACATAGCTGTGACTGAAGCAAAGGGTCAGGCGGCACATAGCCAGCAGCCAAGGCCAAGCCCCGTGAATCGTCTGCAGGTCCCAGGGCCGTCGCGGCGGGACACACACTCTGCCGAGTGCACTGAGCTCACATACACACCAGTATGTGTTAAGCGTAATTGCAAATTCTACAATAGTTTTGAAAAAAGAAGTCTTAATCTTAAGCCCAAAGTTTTTGACTTAATTTTAGTCCCAAAATTTAGTCCCAAAATTTTAGAAGTGTTTAGAACAAACAGGGAAGAGTGAGATCTATTTGTTATTGTAATAGCTTAGCCATTTACAAATACTGCCAGTGTCTGAAAAATCATTTAAAGTTTTGGAAGCAGTAGTGATATCTGAAAAATTCAATTTAATAAAACCCTTGTCTCTGCACATGGAAGGTACTAGAAGAGATGCTGGGTGAATGCAAAGATTAGTAAGAAAAGGTCCTTGCCCTAAAGAGCTTCTAATCCTGTGACACACATTTTTACTACGCAAGGGGAAAGAAGGGCTACAGAAAAGAAGAGGATCGATGATGGGTTCTATAAATCAGCCAGGAAATATTTTTGTGCAACTACTTTTCATCCTTTGCACTACTGTACTATTCAAGAGGACCATTAAACGTCTCAGAATACCTGTGTCTCTATTCCTATTAACGTTGTATATAATATAAATAGCACACATTTTAGTCACTCACGAACACAAGCATCACACTGCAAAAATAAACCCCAAATCTCAAATAACAATAACAATACCTAACCTATAAGAAATACGCAGTAAAATTTTTTTGAATTTATTTATAAATGATTTCTAATATAGTTAACTTATGAATGTAATTCTCATGGGCTCAGAATATTCTTCTATGATGTTATGTGTGTGGTTTTAATATCGTAATAAAAATCAAACACCAGTGAGCTGCACATCTTGAAATACTTATGCACACTGCATTTGACAACGGGCTGTGCTCTGAGCGAGCTGAAAGAGAAACAGGCTCCGGCCTGTCGTACAGAACATGAACAGTCACCCCTGCCATGGTCTGAGCTACAGCCACGGCTGGGGTCTCCACGTGGTAACTCCGCCCCAGCACTGTTTCGGTGGCCTTAAAAGTTCTAAACACTCACATAAAAAATGCTCAACTTTTGTTCTTGTTTTATTCTGCTGCAGATAGTGTGTCGAAAAGGGCATGAGCTGTCCGTGACACCCCGGCCCACCGTGCCGAAATACCTTCTGAACAAAACAGTCTAGAAATGCCATTCGTAAGATAGAAGAACACCACAAGCCGAAACCAAAACAATGACTCTAGAATTTTATGCCCCAAAGTTGCCACGATGGTTAAATTTTTCAGCTGGCAATAAGTGTGTACAGAAACGAAGTACAAAATGAGCTGGAAGTACTTAATTGACATGTATCTGTTGTTTGTGACACAGTTTATGTTTTTTACAAAGCTTGTGACATGTTCTTATCTACAGCACCAAAATCTAAATTCAGATACTTACATTATTGCACTCCCCAAGGAAATACAGTGCAAATCCGTCAGCTTTTGTGGCTGCCAAAGTAATAAAAAAGGAAGAAACTAATCTCAATGGAAGAACAGACCACGTATGAATTCTTTAAGGTGAGACCTCAGATAGGAATCTTGTGGAAGGGCTTGTTAACATAATTAATGGTCATGCAGTAAACTGAACAAACTATTTATGGCTTTATTCAACGACATAGAACATTTTCATTCATTATTTCTCAGCTATTGCAAATTTTAAGATGTGACATCCTGAAATGCATATAGAAGCCAATGTACTATGTAATAATGCATTTGTGAAACTTTAAGCATTACAACTATTGGAAAATATGTTTAAGAACTGTATTTAATTTTTAAAGTACTAAAAATACCAGACACGATACTCCTAATAAGAATCATCAGTATAAGCATCAACCAAAAAAGGATGACTTATATGTCCACACAGCATCACTGAAGGGGACACGGCTTGGCTTTCCGAACACTGCTTCGGGGCCACGTGAAGGCTGTCCTCACAGCAGGGAACGACATGACTCCTGCAGGCTTGCCTAAGTGTAGACTCCCGCCTCGCCCCTCCTCATTCGTGCGGCCTCGGGTCAAATATTCGGCCTGCCTTTGCCACAGCTTCCCCATCAGAAAAGTGGTGATAATAGGATGTAAATCTGTCATGTCCCCAAATAAATTTAAAATGCTTTCTGTTGCTTAAAAATGAATGATTTTCCTTCATAAAGGTGTGATTTAATTCAACCAAACTACACTTTCCAAAGAAACTAGGCTTTATTTAGGAAGCAGATAGTATATTCCATTTACACATCTGGCAGATACTTTCTTTGAGACTGGATAATTGAGGAATTTTTAGGTTTGACTCATTCTGGTAGTTTCATAATAAAATATTTTCACTTCAAGCTCAGCCCAAGAATGGAAGTAAATAAGTGACTTGCATTTGCCTTGTAGTAAGTATATTACTTTTTCCATTTTCCACAACAGAATAAAAGGAACTTCAGTTCAAACGTTCTGCCAGAAGGAATAGAAAGCATTTCTTACCTATTTTAATGATGCTACTCAACTCATAAAGGAGGAGTTGATTGTCCCCACCTGTGTCCAGCCGCTGTTCGATGTAGCTGTTTAACTCATATACAACCCCCTGCATATTCGTATCTTGGTACTTTTAATAAAAAAAAGAAGAAAGAAAGAAAAAGAAAGGACATAATTAAATATAATAAAATAAAAGTTCCTTAATTTTGTTAATTATATAACTTCATATATATATATACACTTTCTTTTATGCTTTTACACATTATGCTTTTACAGAACACTTATTTAAATATTATAATCTACCAAGAAATTGATTGTATATTAAAATTGCCATGAGGTAGGATTATTTATAGACTGTATGTTTATATTAAAATATCAAGTGTTACAAATTACAACTTTATTTCTAAAGTTTTATTTATCTATTCAGTAAAAGTAGTATGAAAGTTTGCTGACTGAATGAAGCACCGTAAGACACTAGAAATGTCAAGTGAGTGGCATGGCGCTGGGTACAACGAAGTTTATTTTTCTCCACACCTGCACCGGTGGGGCCGCCACCCTAGCCTGATCCAAACCCGCCCCCCAGCACAGGAGGGGACATGACCAGCTAGCCGTCCCCTGGAAGCCCAAAGCTCTGGGCTGCACTGTGGTGGCAGGGACACCAGCAGCGGACGGGGTGTGGGGGGAGGTGGCTGCTAGACCTTAGCTACTCCAGCACAAGCTACCGCCGGGTCTTCTCTAATCACCGAAACGCTGTCTAACAAGCCTCCCACTACCAAGCTGGCTGCCCCAAGCCTGCTCTCCAAACAATCGCCTGGGTAAGTTTCATAAACAAAATAAGATTCTGTCAACTCCTGGCTTAAAATACTTCCCACCCCTTAGAATAACAGACTCCCCACGGGACGGCCTCTCACATTCTACAAAATGGGGTCGTTGTCTGCCTACGACACCTTCTCCAGCCAGCTTTCACTCCTAAACGTCTATTACTTGCCATTATTCTTTCTTCTTAAATTCCAGTATAGTTAAGGTAAGTGTCACATTAGTGTTAGGTGTACCATATCACGATTCGGCATTCCACACATCGCCTGGAGCTCATCACAACAAGTGCACCCCTTAATCCCCATCACCTACTTCCCCCATCGCCCAGCCTCGTCCGCGCTGGTAACCATCAGTTTGCTCTCTATAATGAACAGTCTGTTTCTTGGTTTGTCTTTCTCTTTTTTTCCTCCTTTGTTTTTCCATTTGTTTTGTTTCTTAAATTCCACACATGAGTGAAATCATATGGTATTTGTCTGTTGCTGACTAACTGAGCTTAGCAGAAGACTCTCAAGCTCCATCCATGTCACTGCACATACTTGCTGCTATTCTGATTGCTGTTCTCAATGAATGGCTGGGGAGTGAATGGATGTGAATGAATAAATGAAAGAGTGGATGAATCAATCACTCAATCATTCTGCACACAGCTACCGGCGATCCTGACAATCTACCACACACAGGCACTCCTCTGGACAGAACAGATGGAGAGAATTCACACGAGGAAGTGCACTAAACATAGATGCTGGGCTCCCCGTGCTTGTGCTGGGTGGGGAATATGTCCCAAAAGTGGCCAACACTTTTTCAGATGCAGCCGAAACACCAGACCTTCCTGGTCCATCTTCCAGTCTGAGCAAGAGTGGAATGTTGGCAGGGGTTTATTCTAGAAGACCTGTTTACCCATCTCCGAGCCGCATTAGCACAGACAACCCCTTCACCAAGGCTGTGAGAAATACGCCCCTGGGGGCGCACTGGCACGTGCGCGTAGGCCTGTGCTGTGGCCCAGGGAGGCCCATCCATCGGGGTCTCTGAACCCACTGGCGCCCGGACGGCAGAGCCACGCGGCGACAACAACATCCAGAATGAGGTGGGGGCGCCTGGCATCCCGGCAGACCTGAAGCTGCCACCACAGTGACCCGGCCAGCAGGGGCTGCTTGGCCCCAGGGTCCCTGGACCTGGAACAGACAGGGAGGCCTGCTCTGTCTACACAGAGAAGTTCTGCGTTTCACGAACACAAGTTGACCTGATTCTCCACAGCAAGTCAGAGCACCGGATGAATTCCAGGCTGGAGCCAATTCTCAGGCCCAGAATCTCCCGAACAAAGAAAGGGGAGATGGAGACCAGGTCTCCTGAAGGAAGGATCCGGATTCACAGCCGAACACTGAGAGCACAGATCCTCCTCTCAGTTCCAGAGGCCTGCGGCCACCTTTCTGGATGACTGCACGGAGGAGACAGAAACTGCCAGGCTTTCGGGGGACGGTGGGACATCAGCTCTACACAGACGCTACTGTTTAGCGATCCAAACGCCACTCCGGTGTTCTGGGCAGAGGGGCAGCAGATGGCAGGTGAGCCCCAGAGCTGTGGCTCAGGTCTGTCTCGACAGCGAGCTCCGGCTGGTTTGCAAACACCGTGGGAGCTACAGTTTGGGAACACAAATTTGGAATAGGTGTCCTTAGGCACGGACGGAGTTCTACCCTGAAAGATCCTCACTGGAAGGGGGTGAAGGCGTGAGACATTCAGGAATCTGGAGCAGAAGCTTCCCCCGTAGAGAGAACAACAGAAAGGAACCAACGCACATGACCCTGAAGCATCAAAACAGAGGCCCACCAGCAGGCATCCTCACGCTTTAACACCGACTGCAGAGCGCAGACTCCACTCTCAGACCCTGACCCAGAGCGGCCCCTCCGGGAGGTGTGTGCCGCCTACCGCCTCTGCTGGGCCTCCTGTCTTGGGGTCGTGGGGTCCGCGTCCCTGCCCCTGTAACCTGGGCCCCTCCCTGTATTGCCGCACAGCGAACCAGGCCACCCACGGCCTCCTCTGGGACCCTGTATTGCTAACACCGGATCGGCGTAACAGTGCGTCGGAAGTTCCCGGTCACCGTCTGGCGGTGGATACTGTCCGAGTCCTCTTCCGTGTAGACTCCTGGGTGACAGGGTGAGCCCGTAGACACTGTCACGAGCGCTCTGAACTTGTGATGCCGACAAGGCATGGTAGCCTCATGGGGGCCGTTCCTCTACTGTCTGTGAACAAGATCCTATTCGACGACTGCCAGTTTTGAGGAACTCCAGAGAAAAGACTGTGTTCTAACATGCCCTCTCTCTCTTCCTCACCAGTAATTAGAAGTATTTGCTTTCTGTTTTCCCCCTAAAGTCCGAGGAAAGAGCTTCTCTGAGACTGGGGCTGACCCAGAGGCAAGCGAGGCGAAGACAAGTAAAGAGAGCAGGTCATGGCGACAGAGTTCGAGCCGCCAGATCCGGACCCACAGAAACCATCCTGCCCAGACACACAGAGTTCATGACCAATTCAGTCCGTGAACACTTCTTTCTTCCTCGGCGGAGGCTGACGGTAGCTGCTCTCAGCTGGGGCCTCAGTCCCCCAGCAGAGGCGTCCCTATAGACGTGACACGCACGCAGACTCCTCTCTCCGACAACACGCCTCCGTGAGTGCAGCCGGTACGGAGACAGGGGGGTGGGCCGAGAGGGACGAGCACTGCCCCCCATCTCCTCCGGGCGGGACGGGGGTCACACACCTCGAGAACAGGAAGGCATCCACAACACAAGCAGTCTATCGTGGGGTTTCCTTTCGCCGCACCTCGGAGCTTTTGTTTTCCCACTTGTCAAACAAGGAGGTTGAAGTGCATAGCCTTTAAGATACTTTTCAACACGCACAGTCTGTGATAATCCATGACCTTGGATTTTAATTTCATTTTTAGGCTTCAAATTCTAATCGTTAACCCAGTGGATGGGTTAGTACACCCTGGTGCCTTCGATTGCTAATGATGATCATATCCTAAGAGCAAAGTGTTCTATCGTGGTTATTCTTATGTATTAATGTACCATCAAGTCTCCAATATGAAAGCCCTATCTACACAGTGAAGATTATTCACAATGCCCAAGTGGTCTGTTCACAGATGCCTGAATCAAGAAAATGCCATACACACAATGTATGTATGTAAATTAGATTATATGTAGTATTAGAATATTATTCAGTCCATGGGGTGTCTGGGCGGCTCAGTCAGTTACAGGTCCGACTTCGGTTCGGCTCGGGTCATGATCTCACTATTCATGAGTTTGAGCCCCTGTGTCGGGCTCTGTGCTGACAGCTCAGAGCCTGGAGCCTGCTTCGGATTCTGTCTCCCTCTCCTTCGGCCCATTCCCTGCTCACGCTCTCTGTCTCTCTCTCTCTCTCTCCCTCCCTCAAAAATAAACATTAAAAAGAAGTTCAGTCCTAAAAAAGAAGGAAATCCTGCTAATTTGTGGTAACACAGATGAAACTAGAGGACATTATGCTAATTAAAATAAACTAGACACAGAAAGACAAACACTGTATTCTCTCACTTTCATGTGGAATCTAAAAGGCCGACCTCACAGGAGTAGAGAGCACACAGGCAGGTGGCTGGGCTGGTGGGGGGGACATGGGGAGAAGACAAAGGTTACAAACTCTCTGGTAGGAATGCGAACTGGTGCGGCCCCTGTAGAAAGCAGTCTGGGGGCTCCACAAAATACTCAGAATACAACTATATGATCCAGTCATTCTACCTCTGAGTGTTTTACCCAAAGATCATGAAAACACTAACTTGAAAAGCTATACGCACCCTTAATGCTCACAGCAGCACCCTTTACGGCAGCCAAAGTGTGGAAGCAGCCCAAGTGTCCACAAAACCATGAAGGGACAAAGAAGGGGTGGGGTCTGCACAATGGGAGGTCGCTCAGCCATGAGAAAGGGTGAGAGCTTGCCATCTGCAACAATACGGATGGATCTAGACGGTATTGTGCTAAGGGAAGTCAGTCGGAGAAAGACAAATGCCATATGATTTCGTTCATATGTGGAATTGAACAAACAAAACAAAAAATGAAAAAAAGGAACCAAAACCAGACTCTGACATACAGAGAACAAATTAGTGGTTGCCAAAAGAGAGGTGGGTGGGGGGTGAGTAATAGGTGACGGGGATTACGGAGTATGTGTGTTGTGACTGGCACTCAGTAATATACAGAACTGGTGAGTCACTGTATTTTACACCTGAAACTAATGGAACACGGTCAATTACACTGGAATTAATTTTTTTTTAAAAGAAGATGATCATTTGAAAAAGAGAGAGAG